GGCGGGGGGGGGGGGGGGGGCGCGTCCACAGATCTCTGCTGTGGGAGGTCCCAGGCCCCGTGAGGCCCCGTGTTCCCAGCTACCTGCTCGGGGCCCTGCTTGGTGCCAGGTTCTGAGCACTGGCCCGAACCCGCCTGGCTCTCAAGTGGCCTCAGAGACTGGTCTCCTTTGTCCTTACCCTTCTTCTGTCCTCTGCCCACCACCCCCGCTCACAAACTCACCTGTGGCCGGGCTTCCCCTGTGTGGTGTGGGGATAGTGATCAGCCCCCCATGGAGACCAACAAGGGGGAGTCGGGGCCAGGTGCTGTGGGGGCTGCTGCCAGCCGGGGCGGCCTCACCTTCCTCGCTATAGATGGGCGCCGTAAGCAGGTAGTTCTGAATCTTCTTGTCCTTTTCAAAGGGACACTCCACCCGCGTCCAGGTCATGAACTCGTGGATCTGTCTGGAGATCTCCCAAAATTTCTGCAGGGGCAGAGGACAGCGGTGTCCCCGTCACCTCGGTCAGGGCCAGTGCTGCTCCCTGCCCGGCGCCAGCACCGGAGGCGGAGGCTCTACACAGCTGACTGCGTGGCCACGAGCACGTTGTGCAGCGTCAGAGCCAGCAGGCGTCCCAGAGCACACACCGTCCTGCCCTCCACCTGGGCCATCAGGCTGGCGGCAGGGTCTGTGCCTCCCCTGCTCAGGGACCCCAATAGGGCCTCACCCCTGACCCCGAGCTGAGGCAGGCAGCCCGGCCAGACCAGACAGCACCACCAATCTGAGCACGTCATGATGCCACTCTCTGGGGCCCGTGTGGGAATCCATAACCCCCTCCCACCCTGACCTGTGTGAGGTGAGCACTGGACACCCAGCTCCCCCTGCACCTCCCCAAGCGCCTTTGTCCTACCCTCCTGCCCTTGGCCAGACAGGCCTTTGCTTCCATCTGGAGTTCTGCTGCCTCCTCCTCCCTGCTCGAGTCCTTCTTACCTAAAGCCTTCCTGGTTCTCCCAGTGGGACCAGTGTCGGGACCAGTGTCCTGGGCGAATGGAGGTTCCTGTGGCTCCAGGCCCTATAACCAGGGCATTCACCCAGAAAGATGGGGCCAACCTCACAGCTCAAGGTCACATAGTGTGACCACCTTGGAGCTGCCAGTCCTACAGGTCCTCTGTGCAGGGCCATGGCCTTGCTGCTCTCCTGCACGGGTGGGTCCTGCCTGCCCTGGGCGGCCGGGAGGCCTGCCCTGCTCTGTGCTGGGACAGCCTGGCCCTCCCTCTGGGCCACAATGGGGCTGAACTCACCTTGAAGTTGATGTGCCCGTTGGGCAGGTGGTTGGTGTGGATTTTGTGCAGGAAGTAGATGTCCTTGACGAAAAGGTTGAACACAGGAATCACAATCTTCTCTCGGCTGCTGTTGGCCATCTGGGACCTCTGTGTGGCCCCCTGGAGGGCCGTGCGGTAGTTGCAGAAGTTGCTGGAAGGATCCATGTGGTGCTGTGTGCGGATGGGAGGGAGGGAGGGGGGAAGATGCATGTGGTGGGCAGCGCTTCCCCCACCCCCTTTGCAGAGCAGGGAGCCCGCTGATGAGGAAGGCACTTCCCCTCTGGGCAACTGGGACTGTCACCCAGAAAAGGCCTCCCTTCCAGGAGGGGGCCCAGAGGTGCCGGCTGAGCGCAGGGCCGTCTGGGTCTGGGTCTGAGCGTCACGGGAGAGCCGCAGAGAAGCCGCACAGCCCCCACGCCTCTTCCCTGCCCTGCTGGGCCTGCTCTCTCCTCCTTCCTTTCAAGCCCTCCTTTGCCCCCCTGCTTAGATCGACAACTCCCAACTCCGACCAGCTCCATAGACACACATTTGCAAAAAAACGAACTCTGTGATCAAATACATCTGGGCCAGGCTGTGCGTGAACTCACCCGTCAGCCCCCGGGCCACCCAGAGGGTCTAGTGCCGTGGAAAGTTGGGCCAGGAAAAGGCCCACGTCTGCTGAGTCAGCATCAACCACTGCAGGGCTCAGGGGCCCGTTTTTGTTTAACTCTTTAGCAACTACCCCCCCCCCCCCAGAAGCAGCTTTAGGCGATGCCAGATCTGACTGAAGGCAGGGCCGAGGACAGCCCAGCCCCAGCCTGCACTGCGGGCAGCAGGCCCTGAGCAAAGGGTACAGTGTGGTGGAGGCCCACCTCCTCAGGCCAACACAGGATGAGGCCGGTGCCTACCTCCAAGACATCGAACTTGGCCGTCTTAACTTTGGACCATGTTTTCTTCAGCCGAGCCACAGGACTGAGGTTCATGCCAGCTGCAGAGAAAAGCGAGGAGGGTCAGGGCAGGCAGGTGGGTCAGAGAGGAGCTGGGTGGGCAGCCGGCCGGACACTCACAGATGATGGCCATCATGGAGTTGAAGTTCCCGATGTTGAAACACTCCCGGGCCACGTCGATGAAGAACTCCAGCATGCGGGTCCGCTGCTTCTTCTTCACCACCTGCGGCAGCCAGCAGCCTCAGCGTGGGCCCCATGGGGGCCGCGCCCTCCACCACCCGCCCCTGAGGGCCTCTGGTTGGAGCTGCCCCAAGGCCCACAGAGCTGTCAGACCCGGGTGGGCAGGGGGGATGGGGGGTGGGCTGCAGAGGCAGGAAACACAGCTGTGGCGTGTCCGATGTGGGCAGGAGGATGGCGAGAGGACTGAGGGGCCCCGGATGAGCTCATAGACTGTGCTGGGCACAGGGTGCACTCCGTGATGGGTCTCCATCGCAATTTAAGGCATCACAGTCGGACGTGTGGGGGGCAGGGGGGCAGCAGCTCCAAGGCCCTGGCAATGGAGGCTCCTTATCTCCACTTGCAAATTGTCAACGTCTGAGGGGCAGGAGCACCTGAGCGTGTCTCGGGCAGCCCTGTGGGGGCGGGGAGGAGACGGCCACCCTGCCGTGGCTGCTGTGCGGTGCGTACCCGGCACACCTCGGTGGCCACCAGCATGCTGAGGCAGTTGAACCAGTTGTCGTAGGCCTCCAGGCTGTAGGTCTTGGTCAGGTCCCCTCGGCACTGGGGAGGACACAGCAGTTCACGGGAAGCCCAAGGACACTGCTGGCGCTGCTGCCCAGCCCTGGCCCAGGACGGAGGGGCAGGGACCTTGTCCCGAGGAGGAAACTGCAAGTGATAGTGAGTGGGGGCCACTGGACAGGTCCCCTCGGCCAGCCTGGGGCTCCACAATGCCCAGGGCTCGCCTTGGAGGCCAGGCTGGGTGCCCCAGCCCTGGGAATACGGGGCCCCCTCCCAGCATGCATCTCCCTGTGTGGCCTCCACTGACCCCCTGGAGCAGGCGCCAGGAAGCCAGACCACATCCATGGCTCAGACACTCCAGAGGAGCTCAGGCGAGCTGCGTGGGTCCAGGCCCACCCGCAGGCCAGCCCCTCACCCTGTGCTTGTCCCGAGAGTCCGTGTGGCTCCGCCCACCCTGCACGGGATGCGGGTCCAGGCCCACCCGCAGGCCCGCCCCTCACCCTGTGCTTGTCCCGAGAGTCCGTGTGGCTGACGATCTGCATCAGGTCCTGGGGCTGGATGCTGCTGACCCTCTCCTGGGGCAGGCGGGAGACAGCACGGGAGTGATCAGCCTCTGGCCTCGAGGCCCCCACTCGGCGTGCAGGACGTGTTCGGAGCAGCGGTCAGAACTAGTCTGCGGGCGTGTGCAAGGGCCCCTCCTTGATCCGAGCACCCCACCAGGGGGCAATCCCTGCCCGGGCCCCTCCACAAGCACCCCAGGGCCTGGAAGGCCCTCCTCTGGAGCGGAGGGAGCAGGGCTGCAAGGAGTGGGGTGGAAGCCTCGGGTCCGTGGCTGCCATGTACAGGGGACCTGCCCAGCCCGGGCACAGGCGGGATGAGGCGACAGGGTCGGAGAACTGGCTCGCCCCCTCGAAGCCCCTCACCTCCATCCTGGGGCCACTTTAGTCCTGGCCACCCTCCCCCTCCCCTTAACACAGGGCTGCTGTGCCCCCGGAGGCCTGGGGGCCAGGCACAGAGAAACCTGCTGTAGGTGGACACATCGGCCAGAGGCAGTGATCGGGGTCTCCTGACACCCTGCCCGCCCAGCAGGGAAGCCTGTGGTGCTGACACTGAGAAAGCTGTGGGGGCTCTCATGGCTCTGGACAAGCAGGAGTCCGCGCACCCAGCCCGCCCTGAGCGGCTCACGCACTGACCAGCTCAATGTGAGTCAGCTGCTGGGCCAGCACCAGGGGGTCGCAGCACACGCCCAGGATGTCCTTCTGAGAGGCCGGGGGCTTGGCCTTGAGGATGGGCCCTTTATCCACAGCCGGCGAGCGGAGCTTCTCCCGCAGCTCCTGCAGCTGGCTCCGGGCGGCCAGGGACAGCAGCAGGCTCTGCGTCAGCTGGGCAATGGCCTTCTTCACCGTGCCATTCTCCTGCGGGCAGGGAGCATGGAGGTGCCAGCACGGGCTGGCGAGACCACACCTCTCAGGAGGACCCGCCGCATCTCCGGGGACATACCCAACGCTGAGCCCACATACCCGACCCAAACCTGCCCTGAGCACCTAGGCCTGACGGAGTGGGGCACAGTGTGGGCCCCTCTGAGGCCCTCTGGACAGGTGGCTTAGCGGGCTGTGCGGTGAAGAAGGGATCTGAGGGCCAGAGCAGGGCCAAGCTGTCCCTAAGGAACCTTCACCTCTTCCGCGTGTACACACACATACACATACACACACACACACACACACACACACACACACACACACACACACACGGAGCTCCACCTGAGCCGAGGGAGGCCCTCACCTCATCACACTGCATGATCCGGTGGGTGATGGCCTTCAGTTCAGCCATGGCCTTCTCGTCCTGGAAGTCGCAGGGGAAGGCCTCTGTCCACTCCTTCAGCAGCTGCACAATCTTGGCTGAGAAGGACTTCAGCATGGCCTGGGGGTAGGCACAGGTGGGGCCGACCCACCAGAGTGAGTGACAAGACAACGAGTGGTAAACCGCCCCAGGCCCGCTGTGCTCGGCGGGACGACCCCCACAGGGCCACCGGCAGTTTGGTCATACCTGCGTTGTTGCGTATTCGCCTTGGGGACCCTGAGAAAGGAGATGCCTACCCAGCGGGCTCCTGGTAGCTAACTGGGCTCACATTTTTGAAAAACAGCCAGGCAATTATTTCTAAACGGGGGTCTCTCACGCAAGCCACACGTCAGGGAGAAGCCTACACTGAACTGCCCATCTGCACTGTGTTCCTGCCGTTGGAGCCAAGCCTTATAAAGGAGTTCCTGGAATCCTAGTTCAACCAACAGGACTGACACTTATCCCATCCAATCAGAGCTGCACAGCTATGTCTCCATTAGCACCAGTCAGAGCCGCTCCATTCCGGCCAATCAGGACAGTGCTTTTTGGACCAATCAAACTGTGATCTCCATTAGCACCAGTCAGAGCCGCTTCATTCAGGCCAATCAGGGCAGTGCTTTTTGGACCAATCAAACTGTGAGGATTTGGAGTTCTCATTTGCATAAGGACAGACCAATCAGGGACCAGGGGCGGGGAACTCTCTCTATATAAATCAGCTCCCTGTTGCTTGGGGGGCTTACCTTCCCCTTCCACTGGAGATTGTTTCCCTGGCTGGAGCTGAAACATCAATGACTGGCCAGAGCACCCAGAGCACCCAGAGCACCCAGAGCATGGCAGGGAGCAGCCCCAGCAGGCCCTGAGAGGGGGTTGTGGATGGAAGGAGGGGGATGTGGATGGAGAGAAGGGGGTTGTGGATGGAAGGACCTCACAGCCGTGCTGCTTCAAAACCGAGCTGTGACACTATCCTGAGCTGGCCCACAGCTGTGCTGTAGCCACAGCCATGCTGTTTCATAATTGAGTTACTTGCACTGAATAAAGTTTCCTTCTTTGCCACACCCCTAATTAGAGATTCGAGTTGGCATTGAATTGGTGCCAAGGACCATCAATTGACACCCTTAAGGTAGTTCTCTTTTTCACTTAAGTGAACTCATTTTCAGAAACTCCAGGCTTCGGCCCATGTCTGTCCCCATCATGCCCACAGCACCCGGGACAGCCCCTCTCAAGAGGAGACTCAGAAGGCCCAGCTTCACAGGCCTCTCCCCCAAACCCTGCCAAGCACAGCCTCCGGGAAGGTGGAGGGAGGGTCATCAGTCCCCGGTCAGGGGTCAGGCCCGCTCTGCGCAGCCCCAGGAGGCCCTGCCAGCTGGCTGACAGCTTGTCTGCCACCCTCTGCACCAGACCCTGGGCTTCTAACACCTCACCTAAGACCCAGGGCCTCGGAGCTGCGGTGTCTTCACCATCCTGACTGCCCACAGCCTGGCTGTGTCAGAAGGGACAACAGTGGCAAACGGCCCTGTTTGAGTCGCTGAGAACTCCCAGGAGCAGACCCCAGCCTGAGGGTGCTGCACCCCACCCCCTAGAGGAGGCAGGGACCCAGGCCCCTCTGGCTTCTTTTGCACCAATGGAGCCAGGCCTCCACTGAGGGGTACTGGCCCTGAGCAGGAGAGGGGGTCGGGGGTGAATGCCCACCACAGCAGTTATGCCAGCACCCTGGGAGGCGAGCACACCCCAGGACATCAGGGAGGGCCCGGCCAGGCTCAGCCAGATGCTGCCAGCTGGCGCTCAGCATGCTTCTCTTGGAGGAGGCGCGGGGGGCAGCCAGGGGCACCGGACAGGTAGCATCGGGTCAGCACGCCTTTACCTTCTCAGACCCGGCCTCCAGCTGCTGCCTCTGCTCCAGGTAGATCTGCCCCACACGGGCCAGCAGGTCATGCGGGGGCATGAAGACCCGGGAGCTCAAGAGAAACGTGAAGATGTATGTTCTCTGAAGAAGAAGGAAAGGAGAGGGAGAGAGGGTGAAGTGTGGGTCAAGCCTGGTGGGGCCCAAGCCTGCTGCTCCCCTCGGCCCTGCTGGCTCCCAAGCCCAGCATCGCCAGGCAGCGGCCGTGGTTCCGCGTGGCGTACTTCACCGTGGATGCCCGTGGATGCCCGTGGATGCCCGTGGATGCGAGGCACAGATCACCCCACTTCGCAGCGGCTCACGGCCTCCCCAGTGAGCTCAGCTCCCAGCAGTCTCACCCCACGGGCTTCTCCTCACCCTCCGTCCCACCCCAAGATGGGCGCTAACCACCAGCCTTGGTTGGCAGGACTCTCCAGGCCTGGGCGAGCCTGCTGCCCAGCCCACCGTGCTCCCTGGCCTGGCTCCAAGCCTGCTTCTTCTTCTCACCCTCACTGGGCTGCCCGTGGGCCCGGCTGATGGGAGGGGGGTGGGGCCTGTACCTCTGTCAGGGACTGTTGCCAGGCCCTGTACAGTCACTAACCAGCAGTGGGCTTGTGCCAGCCGCCACGCCGAGGCCCTGTTCCACCCCCATGCACCTTACCACCCGCTCTGCAGTGCAGGCTCGGAGGGTTCCTCAGATCTGGGCTGAAGGG